TGAACTACTTAAAGTGCCCTTGTAAGAAAAGATTCACAGCATGCTTCATTGACTCTAAGTGGCAAGAGGAGGAAGAATCAGTCAGGAACCTGTGGCCCTGTCTCTGTGTGTGTGTGCGTGCATATGCCTTCAAGTCAGTTTTTGACTCCTGGTGACTGCCTGGACAAGTCCCTGCAGTTTTCTGAAGTGGTTTGCCTCTGCCTCCTTCCTAGGGCTGAGAAAGAGTGACTCGCTCAAGGTCACCCAGGTGGCTTCATGCCTAAGGCAGGACTAGAACTCCCAGTCTCCTGGTTTCTAGCCTGATGCCTTAACCATTACACCAAACTGGCTCTTTAGGTTTAGCTTTAGCTCCTTCAGGCTTATAGTAACCGCCTACATGCTTGTCAGAGCCCTCAAATCACCAGGGAAGACTTTGGAGTGGCTCTTACAAAAATCTTCCTTGGAAATTAAGCCAGTATAACTTAAATGCGTGTGTGGAGGGGTGGGGTACAACACAATTAAAGGACAGAGAGAAACCTGCTGTCCAGAGAGTTGACTGCTGTAGATTGGTTCCTGTTATTTGTTAAGTAGCCAAAGAAGAAGTCTCCGCATTTTCCTCATGATACAACCGGTGGCTTGATCCTATATTTGTAAAGAAACAGAGCACAACATTTTGTTGCACTGCACACAACATAAAATGTCCAAATGTCCCTCTGTTATAAAAAGATTTCAACACTATTCATTTTCACACCAAACAACAACGATATATTTATGTCTTTCCCAAAGACTACATAGATGCAAAGGGTCTACTAGCTTGCCAGTTTGGGAACAGATTCTTTAACATCAGCCTAAGCATGTGGTAGAGAAAGATGTAAAAAAATATACAGAAGGCATATTTACTTTTAAAATGGTGTCTTGGGCTCAACAGCCTACGATCACCAATTCTACCTCTATGGGGTTCAATCAAAGGAAATACAAACCAAAGTCACAAAGATGTAACAAACACAACCAGTGTACTATGAACAACTGATCTAAGTGGGGAGGTGTTTTTTATCAATAAGACACAATGAGGTATAATGACACGCATATATAGACTTAAATAATACTGGTTGCATTTGAGCTAACAATAATCCAGAATGCTGAAAAAGTGGCTCATCATTGAGAACACACTTGTGCAAAAGGTCCATCAGCCCCTGGTTAACTCTTCTCACTCATGGGAAGAATAAAATTAAGCAGGAACTAATGAGAAACTAAAAGCTTCTTTTGATATTCCAAACTGGAATACTGATTGTCCTTTCCCAAGTAAACCAGACTCTGTACTGGAATGGTAAAATGATTTCCAGTTCCTGGTTCACTAGGAAAGTGAGTCTCCAGGACTGAGATTTTGATTCAATAAGAAGCTATTGCTTCCATTTCCATTTCTGGTGAGTTTTACTGTTCTTGCAAATAAGGGCAATTTGACATCCTTTATGAATGTTGCTCATTAACAATAAGACGGGATGCTTAGCAATTCTGGATTATCATTGCAGTATGCTGTCATTCAATAGTTAGCTTGTACAATGATTCATGAAAGCCAAACACTAATCAAATTACCTTGAAAGTTTTGTTGAGTTCAAAAGGAAGTACTCCTTAGTAAATATGAATTTTAAAAAGTAATACTAAACAAATGTGTGACTTACAAATACAATAACAATCAAGATCCCTTTGGTCTCATGAACATTCTGACTTATTCCTTATTACCTTGCTGATCATAATTGCTCCTACTATACTGAAGGAAACACCCCTGACATTCTATATTGAGTCATATATACCATGGAAAAGAATATGTAAAGTGGCAAACCTCAGAAACCTGATTGCCAGCACAAAGATTCCCCACATAATGTCTCAAAATAAAATATATCCTTCCCCCACCCTAAATTAACAAACACCTCTTCCAGGCGATATAACAATATTCTCTGTAATCCTTATTATAACATATTTAATGAATCATACAGATGCACTGAGACTGATATAAATATGTAATATAAACACATTCTAAAGGATCTGATCCTACCTTTGCAGCCACTGATGAATTGGGTTTTTCCAACAAGTCCCAGAGTTTTTTCCTTTTCTCTGGGCAACAAGCATTATCAAACTCTTCACCTTCTCTTTCTCTCATTGTCTCTGCCTCTCTCCTTAATTCTTCATTCATTTGCTCTTTCTTCTGGTGATATCTTGCCTGGCAACAGGACTCTAAATAGATTTCATCAATCCCCCAATAATCTAGTTCTTGGCCAAAAGAAAGGGCACACATTTCCTCCATCATGTGTAGCTTTCCTGTCCTGTAGAAATTCAGGATAGAGGTGAAAGCACCTGGGTGTCTATCAAAGAAATATTCATTCTCATTAAGATTATAGTCATCACATACTTCTAGTAAAGATTCATTAGTATTGCAGTCTCTGAGCTTCCCTAAGCGTGTCCGTGGAAGTCTATCTAAAGTCCTCCATAGAACTTCATGATTGAGTCCACCTACATTGATTTTCACTCGCCTAGAACATGATTTGCTTCTGATTATGTCCACTGGTTCTGGTGGAAGAGACTGTGTAGACCTTGATGACTTTTTGTTTATTCCTGGAGCCTTTTCGGCCATCCTGATAAGGAAGTAGCAGCAAAGCCAGAGTCCTTTAGAGAATTAAAGTTGACTGAGATGGTAAGTTAGGTCCTTGTTAGATAAGTTCTTCCACTTCTGAAGCTGAAAAGGGGAAAAGTCACATTTTACCATATGTAAAGCAAAATAGCAACTCTCAATGCTATAATAAATAGACAAAGTTTTAACCAGGAGCATTCACTTCTGATAATACTCTTACAGGATCATGTAACATTATTGTTAATGTTGGCTACATGTATTTTTTAAGGGAAAGGGAAAGCAACTTCTGCAATGCTGAAAAATAATGTGCAAACCAGTTCCTCAAAACAATGGAATGGTATTATCGGAGAATGGTTAGGTAGAAATGCAAGCATACTGCATATTTAGCAGCAATTTGCTGAAGGAGCTTTAGGAGAAAAATATCATTTGTTCATCTATATTAAATACAAATGTCCCTAGTTAAACAAGCCCTTACTGCTTGTCTCTGTCCCTAGGCCCTGGGTTAGAGTGGGTGATGGACCCTAGTGTAAAGTTCTGGTCTGGATGTGTGATGATGATTTTTTTCCCAGACTTTCTTTTTTGACGGCATAGTCTATCTTTCTACTGTGTTTTTATTCTTGTATTTTGTAAGTTGCCCAGAGTTGTAACAGATTGGGGCAGGCTATGAACCTCCTAAACAAACAAAGAAACCAACAACAATATTTTATTTACCATATTTTTTTTTCATAGTATAAGAAATCATTTCCATTCCTCTAAGAATTAGCAAGGATTGCCCTCCATCAATCAATGATGATACAAAGAAATTGCTTTAATCACATTTATATTTATTTTCAGACAAAAAGATTATTCATTCAATGTGAATGGACAGATGGAGAAATAAAAAGGTATTATAAAACTCAATTACATTATTGCTATGAACACTGACATGCAAATATCATTAGCTGTTTCATTATATATATTATATATTAATTTACATCATTGCAAAAACTTAGTTTTGTTGTAAAAAGAAAGGTCCATCCTGCCTTCCTGCCTGCCTTCCGTGAAACGCCTTCCTGATTTTTTTAACAAAGAGGAAGAAAAAAATTGTTCAAAACATCTAAATATACAAAGAACTTAATTCTCTGCATTGATCTTCACTTGACATCTTGTGAAAATAAATGTTGTATCAACTCAATAGTGTTCTTGGCTTTATTCTTCTTTTCCTTTGAAGGAGCTGTCCTTTCCCTGAAGGTGTGAATGTTATAGGATATATATCATAGAACCTGGTGTTTTCCAAATGTCTTCTACTATAGTTTACATTACTGGAAGTAGCATGGGTGACAGGAGCTCTACAAAATGTATCTGAGGAACACCAGTTTGCAAAAGGCTGCCATAGACAAGCTAGTCAACCTAAATATGTCCAGAAACGATGCTCCAAACCTGGAGATAATTTCTGAAGGGAGAGAACTGATTGTATAAAAGATTTGGGAAATGTTTACTGTTTTATGTTACAGAAGTGAAACTACTACTCTATGTTGCTTTGTTAATCTTTCAGATTTTTTTCCTCATTTGCAGTTCCTTTTCTACCCCAAAACACTATTAGAATATGATTACATCAAGAAACAGTAAACTTCCAAAGGAGATTTGGAGCCAAAGGGAGGTATACAGTAAATTTATATGCTGTTATTTCACCAAAAGCTTATTGTTTTTAACTCTTTAAAATGTTACTTTAAAGGAAATAAGCATTGATTTGGGATACTGTGATCCAATATTGGCACTGCTCTTGTGTGTTCCCATGATGCCCCCGGCTTCCAGCACTCTTCTCACGCTAAGACGATTAATTTCAGAAGTTCATTGGTTAGCTGATGCTACAGAAAAAAAGCCACACTGAATATAGTTTTGCTGTTGCCTCTGTAGCTCAGAGCAACTGGTTCCCCATTCGTGGGAAATCTTGACTTGTCTTGCATCCCAGCTCCTGGGATTTTTCCTTCCCTCCTAAACCAGAAGTCCCATGGGGTCTTGCCATCAATTCCCAACACTCTAAGGCAGTGTTTCTCAACCTCCACAACTTTAAGATGTGCAGACTTCCACTCCCAGAATTCTCCAGATTTCAATTCTGCAGTATTTTTTCATTCTTATGGTAAAGGCTCCTATGGCATCTTTATATTTTTAGTTTATTTGATGTACTGTAATCTAGTTTAAGACACAGTTGTAACAATGAGTCATGCTTTGCAAAGCAGTAGAATGATCTTTTGTTGCTTAGCTAACTGGCTGCCTGTCGTGGGTCATCATTAATACTTGTCCCTTCATCTAACAAGTGAGATCACCTCTCCACCACCACCACAATGCATTATACAAGTGTTTCTCAATCACAGCAACTTTAAGATGTATGGACTTTAATTCTGGGAGTTGAAGTTTACACAAAATTGCTGAGGTTGCGAAACACTGCGTTACAGTATACTATACTCTCACCATATGAAACTTACTTCTTTCTCACCTGTCCTAAAATATGAGTGATCAGAGATCTCCATGCTTTGAAATATTATTAAGGGCCTGCCATTTTAATTTCTATTATAATTGTTATGTATATAACAGGTATCTATATATAGAGATATAAACACACATACATACATACATATATACATACATATATACATATATATATATATACACACACGCGCGCACACACACGTAAAGTTTTTCAGATTTACTTAATCATGACTATTCCTTGCCCACTGATTTTTCCTCAAAGTTTCTGGGTGAGAAAAAAACAACTTTGTCTGGTACTCCGACTTGGCATACCTTAGCAGGATACAATGGAAAACAAGGGAATGTCACAAACTGGCCCTTTGGGATTGCTTCCTTTTGAGCAGCAATTGCACAGCTTTTGTCAAAATCTAGAATACAGCATAAATATATATAAAAGGCTATTCTATCTTTAGAATCCAATTTTTATGCATTAGATTACAGTAAGACATCACTGATCTCATCAGATATAGCCCGACATAACTGAATTTTGACTGGTGACAAATTACAACCACTCCTACATTTTCTGTGGCTACCACAGCTGCTGCTCTTATTATTATAGAACAATGTTTCTCATCTTCAGGAACTTTAAGATGTGTGGACTTCAACTCCCAGAATTCCCCAGCCAGTATGCTAGCTGAGGAATTCTAGGTGTTGAAGTCCACACATCTTAAAGTTCACAAGGTTAAGAAACACTGCTATAGAATCATAGTCCTTTTATACTAAAGCTGCACAAATGTATAGAGAAATATATTGGTGTATTGGTACAATATAAATCAGGTAACATAGAATAAATAGATTTCTGGTACTATGAATAATGCACATCATTGTTACACTATTACTTGTTTATTTATATACATTGTTAGCTCGCTTTATTTTAGCAAAAGAAAGCAAAGCAACTAACATAAGTGAAAGACACAAAACTTTTTTAAAGAAAACTCTAGCCCTCTATAATTTGAAATGCAGCAATTATGGAAACAGAATGAGAAATTCCTCTACAATCAATGGGAGTCCATTTTATTGGGTGGCTGGAACCTCTGTGCTAAAGTAGGCATAACAGAGTTGATCCTGTTTTGACTCAGAAGTAAAGACCAAAAATATCAAAACAATGACCATAAAAAACAAGAACAAAGCTACTGCAGCAACAGTGACTGACATGATATCAGTGTTTCTAGGTACGCCATCATTACCCGCTATCACTGTCTCGCATTAGCCGTGCAGAGAAGAAACCAAACAACACAGTGGTAGGCCAAATGATGAGCCAAGCCAGTATATCCCTCTATACACCATTAAGCAGACAGAAAGCAATCTCTCTATAGTCATGAACCTCAAGGATCCCAACAGACAGGAAAAATATCAACGCAATTGTCAAACACATCTCCTGCCATCATTACGAGGCCCAGCTACGAACTGTGCAGAGGCTCCATTCAATAATTTCCCCTTCAAGAATTACAACTACTGTACACGCATGCTCCCTCCATCCACACCTTGTCCCTGACTTGATTTGCTCTCTCTCTTTCTCCAATTTCCATGCAACCCTAACTTAACTGGAAACTCCTAGCCAAGATTCAGATCCCCATCCCTGGTAGAAATCAGTTTATGATTTCTATGCCAGTGGTGTTACATATTGCTATTCTTCCATGACACTCCAAAACTGACTGCCCGAGGCAGCTTCCTCTCTGTGCTTAGGCAATTTGTGTAGTTCACAGTTTGAGATGGAAAACATTTAGATGTCACACTTTGAGTCATGGTCTCCTTTTCACTGACTTACCTTGGCAGTGTCCTCTTGCAGCCTTAGGTGCAGCCGTAACACTGGAATTCCTGTTGGCTGAACCCTGAAGGTTGTTGTTCCAGTTCTGAGAAGGCAAGCATGTGTTAGAGGCCTTTGAATTGCCTGGAAGGTTTGGCTGCTCACTGTTTCTGCACCCACTGGCAGGTGTTAAAGATCTCAGAGGAATGCTTAATATTTGAGGGCAAGGAAGAATAAATGAAATTTCCAGTGGATCAAGCAGGAAATTCACTGGGTGATCTCTCGATCTCTCTCTCTCCTGGATCTCAGAATACAGGAGTCAGAAGAAGATTAGTCTAGCCTCGCAGACCTCTCCAGTTTAAACTCCAGTAACTCCAGGCAGAGTTAGAAAATCCCTATCTGCTTTCTAACTGTGCCAGTTGGTGTCAAAAATACTGGGTTACATGCCTCGGGTGTAGAAACTTCCTATCCTGCTAAGCTACAGGTCCCTTCTCCTGTCTAATTTGTCTATCTTGCAATATTTATATCTAATCAGTTTCTACCCAAGTTTTATGTTCCCCCCATTAAAAAAAAAAAAAAAAACCCTCTTCCCAGAGCAGTTTACAAAATGTATAACAAGGAGATTTTTTTAAAAAAAAAAGAAGCATCAGTTAAAGCACACATTTATTTATTTATTTATCATATTTATATGGCCACCCATCTCATGAAACGTGACTCTAGGCAGTGTACGTGAATAGCACATAAATAAAATGCTGAGCATTAAGGGCAGATATGATGAAATCATACACACTATTTTAGGAACTGAATTTTCCAGCAATGTGACACCACCACTGAGGAGGTCCCATCTTGGATCCTTGACAATTTGAATGGCATGAATGAAAGGCTAAAGAGCAAGCCACCAGTCATTCTCACTAACTTTGTTTGGTAAAAAACAACAACGGAAGGATCAATGAAGAGAACTGGGGATCAGAATCTTGTACTCAAGTTTTTTGTCTCCATCTAGACTTCACAAAGCTTCCACATCAGTTTTCTTCCTGAAAAGCTGACTTTGACATTTTCATTTTCTATGTTCACAGATAATTATTTTTCTGTTTTTCTAATGTTAATGAGTACTCAAGGTTACATTGTGCCTTGGAATTAAGATCACCACATACTGGCTCTTATTCTGAATAAATGTACCTAAGACTGGGCTGCCAATCTTTCACTGAAGTCTTAAATCCACAAGATTATAGCCTGATTCTGTGCCTACTAATGTATAATTTTGTTTTCCCCTGCACAATAATCATAGGATGAATACTACCATTTATGCATTTCTCATATTTTTAAAAAAATATGATTAAATTTATTTAGCTGTAATACAAAATAGTCTTAATAAAGGTTCTATAAGGATCTAAGCCAGACTTCTCTGACTTGCCATCTAAAAGGACTGGCTTTTGACTCCCATAATCCCAAGCATTTTGGATTACTGAATAAAAATACCATCCAACTGGTTGACTCCGCCAATATGAAGCAGAACATTTTCTTCAACCTGTGTGCCCATATATTTATTAACAAGTTTATTAAACTTATACTCTTGGCTATTGAAATGTCTTGGCAATTTATAGCAAAACCACAGGTCCTAAAATCCCAGACTTAAACCACATATATTAAAATCAAAATTAAAAGAAACAAATATTAAAATAAATTTATCATATTCAAAACATATGCTTTTAGGGCCTTTTGATAAGCCGGTGTCAGCCTTGCAAGGTAGTCCAGACAAGAAGCACGCCCATAAGTACTTGCTCTACTTTATTGGAGTAAACAGAATCTTGGAAGTCTGAAAGTACATTTCTCCCCATTGCCTTTACAGCCCAAGAAACTAGGGAGGGTCCCTTCTGAGATATTTGCCACATCCAGATTCCTTCTATTGTTGGCCACAATAGTGGTGATATCCCCAGAGACACTGCCAATAAAACTCTGGGCATGAGAAAGGTATGTTAACTGATTTATTTGGTACGAAACAAAGCGGGGTCCCTCTCCCAAGAGAAGGAACCCCCATTCGTGCGTGTAAAACTTTTTATACCCGTGACAGCCTGCCACCTATTAGTTACCTCCTTGCACAAACGTTCTGAAGCTTTACTTATATAAGCATTGACTTCCTTCTGACCAAATAAGGTCTTTCCACTCCCTAAGATGTGGAATTATGTAACTGGTAGCATTGTTTTTAATATGCTAATGGGCTCTTTGGTGACCTCTGTTCAAGGATGTCTCCTGCTCTCCTCACTGGTCTAATCCCATTCCAGACAGCCTTTTCTACACTGCTGGCAGGTACAGTACTCACTTCCTGGGTCACCGCCCTCACTATGGGCTAAGCTGTGGCTCGGCTGTGGTTCTTCCTCCTGTCTCCCAAGGTCATCCCCACATACCATTACAGCTGGCAAACAGGCCAGTTTAGCATAGTCCAGAGAATGGAAGAGGCTGTAGAAAAGGCACACACCTGAACTGGAATAAAATAAGCCTGTGACAACTGCTGTGTTTACAGTCTTACCAGAAATGGGTTTATTACTAAGGAAATGACTGAGCTTCTTATGGATCACTGCTTCTACATTGATTAAGTCTCATAAAAAGCATTCACCAAAAAAAGCAGCTTAGCATGAATGGAGTCTCAAGTTAGGCTGCTCCTTCACAGTTGGAAGATGGTAAACTCTGAAGGATCTTTCATGGCTTGCAACTACCCAGTTACCATGAGGCCTGCATATGTGGGTGGCCCTCCATTGCTACGATCACTTAAAACAATCTCTCAACTTTACTAACAGGAAAAGAAAAAGTAGACTTAGTCAAAGGGTAACCATTTAAAGTCCATTTCCTCTTAAACATGAAGTATGATTAAGACCCATAAGCTTAAAGTATTCATGTATGCATCTACAATTATTATGTGGTAAAACAAAAAAAAAATTATACCAATTGCAGTTTTTCAAAAAAAATCAGTAAAAATATTATTGTACATTGTTGTTTAAATACTGCATTTTCCCAAACAGATGTTAAAATGGAAATTCAACCAATCTGTTGTGGAGAATCTGCAATAAAATATTGCTGGCTGGGGAATTCTGGGAACTGAAGTCCACACATCTTAAAGTTGTCAAGGTTGAGAAACCCTGTTCTAGCCAGTCAGCCATGACTATTTCCAGGATCCTGTATTATGTTTTCCCACACACATTTTTCATCTCTCCTAAACATCAATGAGCATGGTATGACATGAGCTGTTTTTGTTCTCTATCTTCCTCTCATCCTTTTTTCCTAAAGTATATAGTATATGTATTAAGGCTACATGATGCTCTACATGGCAGCCATGTGATCCTGGGAAACAATAAAGCTGCTTTAAAGAGTTGCAGACAGGTGTTATGTGTGCATTTTTTTCACACTCCAAAACACATAATTTTTCCAAGTTATTTCCAAGGTACTTCATAGCCCTAATGCTGTATATATGTCTTTACCCAACTGTGTTCCTCTCTCTTGAATATGAGCCTTGCCTTTTTGGCTATCTAAAGAACCATACTGAAACAATAGGTTTGCTAATAGCGTATACTGTAATTCAAATATATGCAGTCACAGAAGCTTTTAAAATGTACTACAGAGATTATAGAATGCAAAAATAAAAGTTATAGATGGCTGCTGATCAGTCCAGATTTTTTATCTATACATCTATTCATACAGATTAACAGTATTCAATATAAGAGATATGGATTGTTATTGAGCTTATATTCTGCCCTTCTAAACAACAATTTAGTAGAATGGACTACAAGTAGGAAGGACTACTGCAACACATATTACATGAGGTTACCTTTGGACAGCATCTGGAAGCTACAGCTGGAGCAGAATGCAGTCGCACAGTTATATGCGCATGTTACATTTCTGCTCCTCAAGTTGCACCAGTATGCGGAAGGTTTAATTCAAGGTGCTTGTAATGACCCATAAAGCCCTTCATTGCATGGGGCTGTGTTATTTGAAGGACCACCTCCCCCCCCCATGATTATGTCTCTCCATCCCATCAGGTCTGTCAAAAGAGGCATGCTCCAGGACCCATCTGTAAGGGAATGTCATCTGGTGGGGCCCAGGAAGAGTCTTTTCTGCTGTGGTATCCGCCCTTTGGAACATCATCCCTCCAGAGATTAGACTGGCCTCTACCCTACTGGCTTTTTACAAGGCAATAGTTATGTTAATTGTTGGTGGTCGTTTTTGTACCCTGGCTGCTGATTGTGATTTTATGATTTTTACAGGATATATATACATATACATTTTTTTTTCACGTAGCTCTGTTAGCCACCCAGAGTCATGAATGTGAGCCATATAACTAGAATTAATAAATAAATAAATATTTTGAAAAAGTACAATGTATACTTTTTTAAATCATGTTTAAAACAAAACTACAATAGTTGCTTATTTATTTAAACCTTTATACCCACCCAAACTTTTCGATCGGGGAAGCACAACTTCTTCCAGACTGAGGACAGGACTTGGCTTTTGAGTGATGTGCCCCTCTCCAAAAATTAGTGGGTTGGGCTATAGGGAAACCTATCTTGAACTCCTTTTAGTTACTTAAAATATAGTTAGTATGATTATTCCCCCGTCATCTATTCAATATTTCCCCCCTTTTGTCACATTAAATATTACAGCTTATTAACAGGTTTTGAAGGCTTTGGGTAGCTGCTGAAAAAGTTTGGGGGGGGTTCTATGCAACCCTCAGACCTTAGACTGATTCTGTGCTCTACAACTTTCTGGGGAGCTACAATACAATAGCATAAAACTAAATTAGAGGGAAAAGGTAGAAAAACATGCAGTAAGAAGTAGGCAGATGCAGCAGCTAAAATGAGACAACAAATAAATTTTGCACTCCCAGTGAAGCAAATGCCTTCCTAAATAGTCTGCCATATTTCAGGTGCAGCCACTAAAACAGTGTTTCTCAACCTTGACAACTTTAAGATGTGTGGACTTCAACTCCCAGAGTTGGCTGAGGAATTCTGGGAATTGAAGTCCACACATCTTAAAGTTGTCAAGGTTGAGGAGCACTCCACTAAAAAGCCCCATTGGCCAGGACTTCACAACGGTGTTCTGTTAAAAGTTTCTCTATCAAATCTTAGGATGCAGGCAGGCAAGTATGGAGAAAGGCAATTCTTCAAAGATATTCTGGACTTAAGCTCTTAAGGACTTTAAAGACAATCATTAACGTGTTGAACTGGAAACAAACTGATAACTAGAACAGCCCTTGAGTGACAAGTGAAGTATGAGTCTGCATGCAAGCCATATTGGTAGTAAAACTCCAGAGGGAATATTGTTTTTCCCTGCAATACCACAACAAGCAAACTAATATACTTTTCATAATTATGTCATCTGATGCAACAACTTTTAACAGCACTGAATCTTCTTTCTTCCATAAGGCCAAATCAGATTGTACAACAAGAGAGGTAAGTCTATTGACAGATTGCTGCTACGTTTCCAAGCACTGTACTGTAGCTAGAGGCATTGTATGAATTCAACTGCATTTCTTTTGTTAAATTTTCAGCAACATTTATATTTTGCTTTCTGAAGTGGTTATTATCAAATCTGTAATCATCAAAGCCAAGATCTGAAGGATTCAATTCAGGTCTTCTGAACTAATTTTCCAAATCAAAGCATTAAATATATGGAAGGAAGATTCAGACCTTAAAAACAGAACACCTTAACTTTAAAAGGGTCTTATATAGTGGGAATATTTATATAGAGATGTTTCTATGCATATTAAAAAAAAGAGGCAGCAAGAGAATATAACTGTCATGTATACATATATTATTGTAAGTGTTAAGGTATTACAATATTAGACTCTTTGTTTGTTTCCTCTCTGTATCTGGTGTAATGTATAGTATAGATACATAAGCCCAGAGATACATAAGGAGATAATCTTTTCTCGAGTAGTCTTCAGTAATATCAAAAGGTCTTCAGTTTTTCAGAAAATATAATCTTTGTTCTATATTTTGAACAGTGAACTGTACAGTCTTCTCTAAAATGTTATAATAACATAAATGTAAAGCAGAATTCCAAAGTGTTCCTAGCTAAAAAAAGTTTGTGAAACATTCTTCCCTCAGAAATGAATGCATGCTAACCATACATTTTATGTGCTGAAAATCAAGGAACAAAGCAAACAACATGAACTATAAGCACTCCAGTGAAGATTTTTTACATCTATTTTTTCCTCCACATTTTTAGATGCTGAGCTGCAAGATGCCAATCAAGCTTATAAAAACAGCGGTAATAGAAATAAGCATCATGAATGTTCCATCAAACCAAAATATTCAAACGAAAGTAGAAACACTTGGAGCATCATTCCTTTCCTGATGCAAATGACAAGATGTTTTGACAATTATCAGAAAAAGCCAAGTACAGGTGGGTAAACACTTATTATAACAATGATAATTGAATAGGGAAAGACTGGTGCATTGAAAACATTTAATAAAGTAGCTGAAAATACAGGGTGGAGTTTTAAAGATAAATTGGATGTGTTTGATTAAAAAATGTGTTTGGTTTTAGGCGGTACCTCACTGTTCCAATCAAAATCTTCACCAGGTTCTTCAGAAAAGCTTTTCACCACACCCACTTTATGACCATTACTCAACCCATGATCATCACAGGCACACTAACCTGGGATTGTGTTTTGAGGAAAAGCTTAGGGCAGATCTTCTTCCTTTTCTTGCATGAACCTCAGTTCAGAGTTCTGAGAGCCAGCCAAACTCTTTCGGTCTTAGAAGCCAAGGTCTCTCAAGCCTCTAGCTGGTCTCTCTCTTCAGAAGCCTGCCCACTTTGCTGCTCTTCTTCTCCTATTAAACTGGCCCTGGCAGCTTTTCGGCATTACTGTACAGGGAAGGATTATTGACTGAAGTCTGTTTCTCTTAGAGGTAGGAGCTTGATAGCTGTTTATTTGCAAAGTGACAGTACTGCCTCTTGACAATGTTAATGCTGCCTTCAGAGGCAAGGCAGCGAGCAGGAATTTCTATTCTTTCTTTCTTTATTTGTATGGATATAAGCAGCTGGACTCTGGGGGGGCAAGTTAAAATGTCAAAGGAACTGTAAAATACACTTTATTTTTGTATTAATGCTTATGTAACTGAACTTGAAATAAATCCAAGAATACTATAAAGATGGTCAACATGTATGTAAGTAGTATACATGGTTTTATTGGTCCTCAAGTTTGTTTTAGGTAAAAAGATGCTCAACTGCATAAATACTGAAAGGAGTGTGTTGCACATCACTCAAATAAAAGTACACCGCTCAGTAACACAGCTTGCACATATATCTAACACTCATATGGGCATTTTACAACTTGCAAATTATTCCCCTTTAACATACCTTGGTTTAAGAAGGGGGGAGATTTTTTTCTCCCTTATTCCTGCTCTTTGGAACATCGGCGACTCAAATGAAATCCACAGGATGAAGAAAAGGCAGGTATTTTAATGACCATCTCAGTGGCCACGAGGGCTTATATTCCCCATTTTTGACAGCTCGGGAAGCATGTCCTCCTCACTATGCATGTCGCCGTTTGTTAGGGGTCCACGTTACACGGGAAATCACCCCAATCCGACCACGGATTCAGGGAGGCATGGGGTGTCTGTAAAACCAGCTCTCGGGGCATAGAAACTGACTCCCTCTCCGCCTTTCAAAAAAAAAAAGCAAAACAAAACACTTTTCTGGGCATTCCTTAAACAAGAAAGAGGGGGAGGGGAGGAAAAGAGCCCCCCCTCACGCCCCCCTGCTTCTAAATCATACCTGAAGGCATCTCCCTGCACTTAGCTGCTACTTGGAGCCATATGTCAACTATCTGCGGGGTAGGAAGAAGCAGGGATGATTCATGAATCGCCTTCTTTCCTTCCAGACTCCGACGAAAGGCAGAAATCCCCTGCTCCCCCCGCTCGCGCTTACCTTACTCGGCGAAACCACGTTCAGCAT